AGAGAGAGAGAGAGAGAAGGAAGGAAGGAAGGAAGGAGGCGAAGAAGAAGGAAAAAAAAAAGGGGGAGAAAGAAACAATTCCTTCTTATTTACGATGGGCTTGATGATGGTCGCGATAATTAACCCCCGGAAGTAATTAACTTCTGCTTGGAAAGTTTAGATGGTGTTCAAAATCGATATCCTCTGGCGCCTGTGATCGAATAACAAACGCGCCATTCTCTCATTTTCTTTTTGTTTCGAGAAATTTTTTTCTACTTTTGACTCTTCTCTTTCACGAGTCTTCTTTCGAATTTGCTTTGTTCGAATGATGATAATTCGTTGGGACGCGTGAAATTTCCAAGATTCTATAGTTTTTCAGTTGAATGTTGGGTAGTTTGCGAAACTTTTTTTGAGATGACTTTTTTTGTGCGTAATTTTTGAATCGAAAATTTGTTCGAGATCGTGAAATTTTCCTTTTCGACGAGATTCTATTTTTGAGTTTTCTTTCGAATTTGCTTTGTTCGAATGATGATAATTCGTTGGGACGCGTGAAATTTCCAAGATTCTATAGTTTTTGGGAATGTTTGAGTAGTTTGAACTCGTTGGAATGCGTGAATTTTGCAAAACTTTTTGTTTTTTTGAGATTGTGCGTAATTTTTGAATCGATTTGTTCGAGATCGTGAAATTTTCGACGAGATTCTACAGTTTTTAGGTATATTGCAACGTGTTATTTCAATATCACGTGTAGAGGATTGAGACGATATATATTAAATCAATATTAATATCAAAAATTTTTTAAATTCAATTTAAAGTTACGATATAGATAAAGAGAATATCAAAATATAATTTGGTATATTTCGTTGCACTTTGAATCAAACGATATTAATGGAGTCGTTGAAAGATCACAATGATGTAATGGATTAATACAAAGTCACACCAATTAGAATTTTCATTCACGTTTCTATGGAATAACAAGTGTGAAAATTAATACTTGTGTTAAAAGCCAATCGTTAAAATTTTACTACATAAAAAAAATAAATAAACAAATTTCTACAATAACGAACAACACAATTTTGCAAAAAAAAAAAAAAAAGAACAAACCTACAGTAATTGCACAATACACAAACTTCAGTTCAAACTCGTTCTCTTTGTCAATCAACTACGATCGAACCAAAGTTTTTTTCTTTGTTTATCGGCTAAAAATTGGGGAATCACTTTCTATTCGTTTTATTTTAATGATTCTAAGAGATTTCTAATATAAATTTTCTCAAATTATTTTTTCTTTTAAGTTAAGGTTTAATTAAGAAAGTTTTTACAGTAATTAAAATTTAAAAAATTTTTTTTAAATTCTAATGAAACGCACAGCGATCAATTCAAGAATATTCTAAAGTAATTAAAATTTCCTAATTCTAGATTATATGGAATAACAATTTTGAAATTTCTTAAAATAACCACACAAGCTATTTCTCTTCTTTGAATCTTCATTTTCATCTTCCATAGAACACATCAAGTTCTCATCTTTTTAAAATCTTTTACATCGCGATTAACCTCGGTAAAATCTTAACTTCTCATCCTTTAGAAAGTCTTCAGCTTTCATAAAACGCATCACAATCAAAATTTCTCATAGCACTCAAAATGAATTCTAAATTTTTCTATTATTTTTCTGAAAAAAAAAAAAAATCCTTATTTTCCAAAGAACATCCAACTCAGAATTTCCCATAATAACCGAAATCTTCTTACCTTTCTAAAATCTCTTACTACGTCGCAATTAAGTTTCAAAAATTCTAAATTTCCAATTCTTTTTCTCAAACTTTAATTCATTCCAATTAACTCCATCCTCAAAATTTCCCAAATAATAATTCAAATCTCACTTAAATCGCGATTAAGTTTAAAAAAATAACAATTCTAAATCTCCATTCTCTCTCGAACTTCGATTCGTTCCAATTAATTTCTCAAAGTTTCCCAAATAATAACTAAAATCTCACTTAAATCGCGATTAAGTTTAAAAATATAATTAAAACACCCCAATTTCCCCAAAATTCTAAATCTCCATTCTCTCTCGAACTTCGATTCATTCCAATTAACTCCATCCTCAAAATTTCCCAAATAATAACTAAAATCTCGTTCAAATTTCACCCCAAATTCATCCCGAGTGAGCCCAAATCTTTAGCCGATGCTAAACACCATCTAACCAAAAAAGCAAAAAAGGAAGAAAAATCTCGAATTTGGGGGGAATCACCCCTTATTCCTCTTCGAGAAGATTGTTGCCGCGATCGATCCGGTGTTTCATCAACCTGCTTCTCTCTCTCTCTCTCTCTCTCTCTCTCTCTTTCTCTTTCTCTCTCCCTCTCTCTAGATTTCATTGCGCGTCTACCTGCTATGGTGTATCGTATAATAATCGAGTATAACGATCATATATCACTAACGTGCATCGGGGCGCTCGTCGGCGGCTCCAGAGCTTTGTCTGCAGATAGTCAAAGATAGGAACGTACGGGGACCTGAGGATGTAACGCCGGATGCACCAGCGTCGCGTGTTGCAGCGTGCCTGGTAATTCGCCAGCGGTCGAGTACGCCAATGGATGGTGCCACAATTCAGGACCACCAGGGAAGAATGGGCTCCCTAGGTCTGCAATAGAACACACGATTAAACACACGCGTTTCCTTCGTATCCCCGCAATGACGATCATGATGATAATGATGGAGATGATCGATCGTGATTACGACTATGATTTCGATGATCTTTGTATATATATATATATATATCGGTTATTTTTACGTTTTATCTGATCTCGACAAGTTTGATTTTCTTCCCGTCGCGTTTATTACTTTCTCGTTGTTGAAAAGTTAGATCGGGGAAAAAGCGTTTGAAAAGCGTTTGAAGTTATGCGTTAGAAGTGAAGATAATAACCTCAATGGAAGCTCGATTATCGGGACTGGTAGGGAGAGGAGAGGAGTTGGGACCGTAAATTTCATCACACGCGTGATTTCGAAGAGATTCTGTTTTGATAATTAGCTTCGACATCCACGAGAAAGTACACACGCGAGCGCGAACGTGGACGCAAATATATAATGTTTGGATGGTGGAAGATGATAGAACGTTTGGGTAATAGAGAGTTAGAGGGTAACGTTTGGGTGTTCCGATAATCGAAATTCCAATATTGTAAATATCATTTTAACAAACCGACAAAATGATCGGATTTCACATTTGTTTTCTTCTTCTTCTGTTTTATCGAATAATTACTTTTGATCGAATAAAATCGTGATTAATACGCGATAAAATAGATGCCAAAGGAAGAAGTAATTCTGGCGTTAAATGAAGTTTTATTACTTAAAGTATATTGAAATTTTAATGCTTCAATTGAAAGGATAGTATTTTTCTTTCTTTACGTGGAACTTTGCACTTGCAAGCTGTATAAAAAAAAAAATCCATCTAACAATAATACTAACAATTATTACTTTGAGAGATGTTTTTGTTCAAAATTCAAGCGATACTCTGCTTTTTTTACGATGCTAGAGAAAATCGAGATGTCGAAATCAGACAGAGATAGCCTGTACACTTGTTGAGGAAAATTAAGAGTTGATTAATCGTTCGCGAGTTTCCTTACATTTTTTTTTTTCTTGCGATGGAGGAAAAATTAACAGTAAACGGATAATCTTTTCTTTAGTCTTCGCAAGTATAAAGAGACTCGTAAACGATCAAAATTTCTTTCTTCTTAATTTCGACGCAGTGGCGTAGGAACTCGTAAAGTGGGGAAATTTTTGAAATTGCGAATGTTTTTATCTTTTCGTAGTTATGGCAGTCTATGCTCGATTTACGACGAAACAAAATGTATTCCGTTATGATTTTATTGATTTCGGAAAAAATATGGATTTGGCTAGTTTTACTGTTTGGAAAAAATTTAGAGAATTTAATCGATTGCGTTTTTCGATTCCATTGTTTACGGCACGGTGTTGATTTATTTTTCCAATACAGATCATATTAATTCCTCGTAAAATAAAATGCAAAAAAAAAAAATAGAATTGTACTCGGACGAATTTTTAAACCGATATTTTTATTTCTTCTTTCACTTTAATCTTGCGATCGATAAACATTGCTGATCGCGAAAAAATTGACAAATCGAAAATTACACGCGTTTTCTGTATTTATCGAAATTGAAATACACAAACATACTCACCAACTTTAAAAATTACGAGATGATAATTCTAAATCGATTTAAAAAAAACAAAGGTAAAAACTCTCGAGGCGATCCGATGATACATAGAATAAAATTGTTGTTGTCGAGATCTCGTTACCTTTCGATGGTAAGAGCGAAAAAGAGGTTAGGTTAGTTCGCAACAATCCTCGAGAAATTTACTGTCAAACGAATGCAATTTATAAATCTCGAAAGAATTTTAATAACCTTCTCGTTTCTAATTCCGCGTGACAATCGATGTAACCAAATTCCATCGATGAAACACACGCGCAATCGAGACCATTATCGCGAAACAATTGTAGCCAATCAAAACGTTGCCGTGTTTCGCTATCTAATTGACGACGTGCGACACGGCACGATCGTATCCCTTTGTTATCGATCGTACCATCGTCCACGTTCCAATGGAAAGAAGAAATATGAATATATATATATATATAAAACAAAAATCGTACATTGTCGATTTTTTAATAAAAAAATTAATACTACATTTCGATCAATCGCGCAAGTTCCTTCGCCACTAATCGAGGGTTTATTTTTTTCCAGGGAGAAGAAGACCGTCTTCAACGGTACAGTCATCGAACATGATGATCACTGGAGATGAAGAAAGGAGAAAGAATATGAGATCTCGATGGAAATTATGATTCTGGGAAGCGTTTAACCCTTTGTACTCATATGTCCTTATATTTTATTATTATAAATATATTTATATTAGTATTCCGAGGGACTCTTGTCACAATGTTTTCTTTTAATGTTTCATGTAATGCTTAAGTGTGTGTGTATATATAAATAAAAGATATATATATATATATATATATATTGTATAGATTTTCACTGATCAAGGAATCGAGATGCAGATAAAATTTATTTTATACATTTATGTATTTTATTTTTTTTTTTTTTAGTAAAGCGGCAAATTAATATATTCTCAGAAAAATGTTTTCATTTCGATCGAATATGAAAAATAATTCCAAGTTGATTGGTAAATCTTCTTAAGTACAAATACGAGTGCAAAGGGTTAAGAATGGTCGACTAGATACAATGGTGAATAGTTAGTTATCGACGTGTATCGACATTACATCGAAATTCGATTTTAATTACTCGTGAATTATTCCGTTCGCTACGAGTGAAAATTTTGTTTTTAAAATGAGTGGATGTATTTTTCCTTCCAAATGAGTTCCAAGTGAAACAATTATTAAAGATTATGTATATTATAGAGTTTTAAAAATACACGAGGGATGTTTGGTCGAAATTTGTTCCCGATGCAAATGAAACTTTTCTCGTCGTGTCGACATCGTAACAATTCTTGACTCGTGTAAGAGAATAGAAACAGATAATAAAAGAAAAAAGTCAATTACCATGATATTATTGTTTTGTATATCGAATTTTTTTTTTTTTAGATAGAATCAAACATTACACACGTGTAACGATTACGAATAACGATAATCGAAGTGGGTGAATCATCCTGCGTGTTTCTCTTTTGCCCTCCACTCGGGCGCCAGATTTTAATCTTTTAGATTTTACTTCTCGTTGAATATGGAATTGATTATTAGCGAGAATGCGATGCGAATATCGTGGAATTATTTAAAGGAAAACTTTTATTCTAACGGAAAATTCTCGTCCCTGTTAAAAGTAACCTTTCAATTTTTCTTGGACACTTCATCGTTCATTGAGAAGCAAGCATGCCGGTGTATTCATTGACAAAACGATATAATATACGTTCTTTTTACGAAAACTTACAATTCTCCGTTAATAACGACTTAAAAAATTCATACCGAAATTCGAACGAAAAACCTTTTATCCATCAAGATTCGTTAAGATATTTCATCAAATATTTAAGAATCGAACACTTTCTTATTCGATATTACGAATTCTTTCTCTAAAATATTCCTATTTCTTCTTCAGTCGATCATTAAATTTTTCAAATTTCACCCACGAAGAACCCTTACACACCGAAAATACCAAAGATACCTAAGATTTCCAAGCAATTCCTATTGGAAAAGCTTGCACCAACTTAAATAACGTTTCAACGCACATTTCTCGAATCCCGAACTCTTACCCTTCTCAACTTCCAATTCAAACCTTTAATTCTTCGAATTCATCCGCCAATTTTTACGATTAACAGAAAAAAAGACGGGGGGAGGGGGGAGGGGGGGGGGCACATGATGAATCTGTGATCACAG